AGTGAGACTGACAGGCCCCGAGGAGGGGATGACAGCTAAAGGCCAAGGTCAGAGGCAGACGGTCTCGGTGTGGCACCTGCGGGTGGGGAGGGAGACAGGTCCCTGAGGGCCCGCGTGTCCCCTGCCCGGGGGAGCCGTGCGGGGTGGAGAGAGTGAACAGCAGTCCCGCTGAGCTCAGGCTCCGGGCCCTCAGGACCCTGGAGACCCAGAGTGAACAGCCCTTCCTTTCATCCCACCCACTGTCTGGCGGGAGGCCCTCGAGTGGGAAGGAAGGGCTGCCAGCAGGAGTGGGGCTGGCAGGGCGTGTGTGCGGGGTGCCGCTCTTGGGAGCACTGCAGGGCTGTGCGAGCTCACCGCCTGGTGGAGAGGCAGCGGCTGCATGAGGACGCAGCCCGGCTCCAGGGCCAGGAGTGCCGGCCTTGCTCAGAGAGCCTGGCCTTGCCCCGCCGGGGGGATGAGGCCCTCAGCCCTGGGGTGCCCTGACTAAAGGAAGGGTCTGTCTCCCTGTGCGGCCAGGTGGAGAGTCTAATAAGGAGGTGCGGGGTGAAGGTTTCGGGGTCCTGCCACATCAGCCACTTGGGACCACTTGCCTGGCACATGCAGGCGCAGCAAGAATGGACAAGGGACTCGGCCAGGAAGGCCGGGCACACTGCCACCTGGATTCTGGGAGTGCTAGACGGCCCCTCTGAAGCCCCCGGCAAACGTCCACAGCAGAGCCAACCCATCAGTTAGAATATGCCGCAGAAACTCCTCATTGCGCCTGCCCGGAGCTGCCTGGGCGCTGACTCATCACCAAGCCCCCGACAAGCTGGCAGGAGGAACCAAAGCCCCATGACCCAGCTCCTAAAAGGAGAAGGCTTGCTCCGGGCTTAGAAGAGCTTCGCAGAGGGGCGGACCCAGGGAGCAGACGCAGCACAAGGCCCTGCCCACAGACTAGCTCTGCCAACCCCACAGGGGCCCAGGCACGGCCGCCCTGGGCAACAGTCTGCGGGGAAGCTGGGATCCCCACCACACCACCACCCTCAGGAGGAAGCCCTCAGCCAGGCTCCCAGCTGCGGGGTGGGCGGGGCTCCAGGCAGGCCCACGAGGAGGGAGGCTGGCGGCCGCAGGGACGAGCCCGAAGCCCCTGGGTGCCCCCCTTTCACTCCCACCCACTTGTCTCTGTGCAGCCTTCTGTCCTGTGGGGCATCCCGGGCCCACCCACTCTGACACCCCTGTAAACACCAGGTGGACGGTGGAGGAGACGTGCCTGGTCCTGCTTGGCAATGGCTCTGCCCCTGCTGGAGAAGGGTGAGGAGAGAGGCGAATAGCTAGGAATTTCTTATTTCAGACCTGCCTCAAAGGAGGGGCTGCTCCGTCTCCGACTTTCAGGGAGCCCTCTGCCACCCTGGCTGCACTATCTGGAAAATGTACCTATTTATCCATTTGCTCCAGCCCTTCTGACTAAAGGATGAGCCAGGAACGTGTAAACACTGAAGGACTTCGGCAGACGGGCAAAGCCTGCCAGAAAGGCAGTCAGAAGAACACAACAAAAATCACAGAGCCAGTCTTTCCCGACCTGGGGACACCAGATCCTCCCGCAGAGAAGACCAAAGTACCATTTTCACAGTCCTTTGGAAGATGCTCCCTCCCCACTCCAAGGAAGGGTCACGGAGCTTGGCCCCTGCCAAGGCTCCCTGCTTGTGCGACCTAAACCACGAAGCCGATGCTAAGAATCACCTAGGGCGTCCTCTAAAAACAGATGTTCCTGGTCTCCACCCCAACCCACTGAATGAGACCCTCGGGTACAGGGAGGGTGGCGGCGGCAGGAATTTTCCACCGAGTGTCGCGGGATGTGTTCACCATCAGGAAAACTGGGAAATTTTGAGCAGGGGTTCTCAGGGCGTGGCCTCCAGACTGCAGCACCACCAGGAACCTCTCCCCAAACTGACAGAGTCCAAAACGGCTCAGCCATCTGCACTCTAACAAACCCTTGGGTGACTTGGATGCAGGCCAAACCTGGTCACTGCTGCCCCAGGGCAGGTTCGAGCAGAGCCTAGTTCCGGCATTTGCACACCTGTGTAAGGAGCCAAACCCAGGGTGCCAGTCCTGCCCCAGGTGGCAGTAATTATGGTGACCGCTGGGGTGACTCAGCACCTGACACCGTGTCCACTGCTAGCAGCAAACCTAGGAGGTGCAGGGCCCTTTGCTGGTGAGGAAATGGAGGCAAGAGAGGTTAAGAAACTTGCCCACAACTCGCAGGTGGCAGAGAGGAGCAGGAGTCCGGGCTGTGCAGTCTCGGGGAAGCCACCTCACCTCTCTGGGCCTCAGTGGAGGTCCTCGCCCCCAACACACTGTAACCCCATCCCAGGGCAGATTCTTTCTGTTCCTTTTCAATGAAGAGCAGTGTCAAGGCCTCAGCAGGTGCTCAGTCAGCACTGAGTCTCTGAATTAGGTCAAGGGGGTCCCTACGGGCTTATGAGATGAAGAGATAAGGATCCTAACGCTTGAGCAGGTGGATCAGCAGGGGGAACCGACCAGGGAACCTGAGTTTTAATCTTTGTCAATCCTCGATCCCTGCTGTGCTCACCCCCAGTCTCCTCACCAGAAGGTGACAAGATGTACCTTTGGCTGTGCCGCCTCACAGGGTCCCAGAGGATGGACAAGTGAGAGGTGGACACAGAGTCCTCTACACATGGCCAGGCATCGCACTGAAGCAGCAACAGCAGCGCCATCTACAAGCACGTATGCATGCCCAGCGCAGTCCCAGTGCTGCCTCCACTTGCAACCTCACACAACTCCAAAGAAGGTCGGGTACTGCCCCATTTCACAGGAGGAAATGGAGGCACACAAGTCACAGCCCGCCTTGTGTCACAGCCAATACTCCATCCCAGTCAGTCAGCTGCCACATCCTGACCAGGGCTGTGCTGCTCCTCCGGCGGGTGGTACACCAACCACAGGCCAACCTGCTGGCCCTGTTCCCTCATCCCCTGGTTCCCGGGTCCGGCAGGTGGTGCATCGACCACAAGCGAACCTACTGGCCCCGTTCCCTTGTCCCTGTGTCTAGCAGGCAGTGCCCCGACCCCAGGCTGACCTGCTAGCCACATCCTCCTCTGTCCCCGTGTCCAGCACGCTGCTCAGGTTGTGCTCGGCCTGCGTCTCCTCGGGCACCTCCTGCAGCCCCTCTGCCTGCCTCACCGACAGGCGGTAGTTCTCCAACTCAATCCTCTCCGGGGTGCCCCGCAGTCTCTTGGCAACGCTGGGCTCCTCCAGGCCATTCACACTCGAACCTGCAAGACAAGCAAGAAGCAAAGTTCTAGAACCAGTGATGGGAACGACAGAGGAATTTCTCAGGGAGAGGAGGGACAGCCATCCCCCGAGGCCCAGGAGGCAGACATGGGCAACGGTCAACAAGGTCGGGGTCTGGTGGAGCCCAGAGGATGCTGGTATGAGAGCAGAGATAAAACACCCCATGCCTGTTCTACTGGAAGAGACAGCCGGTGGACATTGGCTGTGCTGGACCTCTAGGGAGAGCCTCCTGGAGAAGGGAGTCCTCCCCTCCGGGCCCTTCCTCCCCGACAACAGTCCAGGACCCAACCAGGGCTCCAGCACTGCATCTGGCTGGCCCACTGAGGTGCCCAGGCGAATGGCTCCACAGAGGTTTCCACATCATGGACTGGGCCGTCTCCTTGTGTTAGATTCACAGCACATGCTCTCTGTCCCTTGGGAGCACCGTGTTGGCAATGCTGGGCTGTCCCACCACACCTGTGCAGGAGCAGAGGGGTCCAGACCACCACTTTCCTGCTCACAGGAGCCAGACCACCTGGTTGAGCTGGTGCCCACTCACTGCTCTGCCCCCTTTGTAGACAGTAAGTCCTCTGTGGGGTGACGCGTGGAGACGACAGGCTCCCTGCTCCCAGCACCCTGCACCCAGGGTGTGGTTCCGCTGATGGTCTGTAGCCAAGTCTGTTCTTATGCTGGATGACCTCCAGAGTCCACCACGCTTCGTAAAAAACTCTCCCCACTTCTCTTTATTTCTCTGAGGACTGCTAGGGAGGGTGGACTTGGAGACCTCAGATGCCCTGTCCTTCCATCCTCCCCATCACCATCGTTACTTCTGCTGATGCACCCTGTGGCCCCACATTCGGGTAGAAGAGGCCCCGGTGCACGCCTTCCTGGGCTCATGTCACAGGACATCGCGGGTGGGGGCAGAGTCAGACACCGGAGCCCACTGGCGGCAGCCGGGAAACTGTAGGAAGTCACACAGCCACCACAACACCGTTTGCTCATCTGTCGTGGGGCTATCCGTGTCCCAGGGTTAACACGCACATGGAATGAATCACGGGCGTGAGCCACCTCTGTGCCCCGTACACGTTGCCCACCTCTTCTGCTCCGGCCCAGCACACA